TTTGAAAGCTTCTATTAAATAAATCAAAGTGATATAATGAAAAATTACAAACTCGAGTGACTATGGCTCAAGTTGTGCCATGGGAATTGACGTTTTGTGTATGTCTGTGAGTTAAAGCCAGATGATACAAGGATGTCTTCATCCATTTGGGTAGTGGCTGACAGACCTTCACTGTTCACTTGTTCATCCATTGTTAGGAGCACAGCATGTTAAGGAGTATAAGCAGGTACGTCTTTTTTTTCCACCCTGAAAACTTGAATGGTGATGAGTCAGTTACTGCCTTTCATTTGCACAAAAAAACCCCAACATCTGGACTCCCTTACATCCTCCTGCACTGGCCTGTTGCAAGCAGTTGCTCTCGTTCAGTGTTAGGCTCCTGTTGCTTTGCTTTCAACAGGACACCTGAGCTCTGGTGGGGGCCAAGGTTGTTCAGCATTTTGGGTCTGAAACAGGGAATTTTCTACCTCAGTTTTGCTTTTTTCAGCACTGCTTGGCAGTTATGAGCCGATGGCTGTATGCAATGAGACAGATGATCTCAGTTTACTTTCTGGGAACACTTGGTCGCAAGTACCTATCCATAATTAGTCCATCCACTGGCTGTGTCAGCAGCCAGGAATGTAAGGTGCGTGAAGCAGATAATGACTGTCAGAACAGGCAGATCTCACAAGTATTAGATGCACATATGTGTTTTAATTATTACAAGGATAGTACTGTTCATCTTTGGAGAAGAGCTGCACTGGGGAGGAGTCTGAACAAGACTTTGGCTTATTTTTAGCTAATTTTTGTCATTCTTTTCAATCAATGTTTTTCATTAGGGCTACAAATAAATTGTATGCCTGGAGGATATTAGATAGACAAGTATGTCATGAGTGTTAACATATGTTTCATAGAATGATGTGATAATGAGGAATTCATTCTGCATCCGCAGCTGCAATAAAAGATAAGCTAGGAGGTAGGAATGAAGGGGAGTTGTTGAAGGATGTAAGCTTCCTAGTAAAAACACTGGGGATGCTTTTGATGGAAAATTGAACAGATTTAAGGACAAACATGACTGAGAACAATGCCCAGATGGTATGGGAAATGTAATTAACCTTTGGCAACACAGCAGTCTCAAAACAATGAGACAAAAACTTTGCCTCCGAGGCAAAACTTTGAGCTCTTTAGTTATTTTGCCCTTTGCCAACATACTCAGCCACGTTCTGGCATTTCCACGCTTCTGGATGCTTTCTGTGCCATCAGTGATGCTTTGTGAAGCCTTCTTACAGAATTTGGCCAGAGTCATTTCATCATATCCATACACGCAGGATGAACTCCAAACCAGGGCATGTTGGTGGCAAGGTAGCAGCCCACTTCTCTCTAATATTGTTCTCTGTCCCTACACATATTGGGCTCAACAGACATGCTTCATCTTCGAGAAGGGGCAAGTTACCTTTCAATGACTAAAACCATTCTTGGTGTTCTGGTTGCTGGGAAAGAAATGAGACTGTCCGGTCCCCGCAGCAGGTAGTTTTACACAGCACAACACATATGCATGTAAAACTATTTTAATTAACTCACGATATTCCCATGTGCTTGTCACATCTGGAGTGATCTCTAGAGAGCAAGACTTGGAGTTTGATGAAAGACTGACTCCCACCAGAATTCAAGTTCAGAGGGAAATCTTTGTGTAAACATTGTAGAAACCCACAGAATCTATATTTTGCTCCTGCTGAGAAAAATAAACTCTTTTTTGTTCTTAGATCAGTGTATGTTCCTGTGTGGAGCAAAATGCAGCAAGAGTATTTTGAGCTGCTTTTGTCTGAACGGTAAAAATAGAAAAGGGAAAAGAGATGAATTTTGCATAATTTTTCTTTAAAGAATGTTTTCTCTTTTTTTGAACAGTATTTTTGTAAGACTAATTCCCTCATCAGTGAACATCAAAATCTCAACTACTGCCAACTAGAACAGAAGATAAAGTAATACAAAGTAACCTCTCTTTAGTAAAGGAGAAGGGCTTGTTAGATGACAGCTTCAGAAACACATGGGGTGATCAGTCACAGAATAAGAGAAAGCATGTATTTTACATATAAATATGTGTGTTTGGGGCAAAGCATCACATACAAGCTGTTTCATGTATTTACAGAGTGTTGTCAGCTGATTCAATGCTGAATAAAACATTAGAAGACTTTACCGAAAGGAGTCTGCAGTCTCACTGTAGTACTGACAAACACGGTATCCAAGGGACAAGAGGTAGAAGCCTTCACTTCCTTTGGCTTAAATTTCCATTGTACTTAATGCACATACGCTTCAATAAAGAGTACCAGACAATGCTTTTACTAATGCAAATACCTTGCATAGAGCACTACTGGAAGCCCTCACAGGGTAAGATGTTTGGGATTCATCACATAGGAAGGAGAGACATGCTCCGTACAGGGAGTAAATGTTAATATTAAATATTTATGCAGAGTAAGATTAAGGAAAAAAAATTATATACATTAATATCTGAATGATTTCAGGTTAAATTATCGTGCATCAAAACAGAGATATTCAGCGTAAGATAATAATTCTTTCTTGATTTCAAAACTGAAATCTTAAGGAGAAGTCATATTCCTTCAGTTTCTAATGATGTTTTTGTTAAAAAGTGTATGACTGGCATAGCAAATATTCCTAAACTCTAGAATTAAAATATAAAGTTATTAATAAGATAAAGATTTTTAGTTTTCTACTTTTTTAATTTGGAAGTGTTTTTAGTGTAATTTTTTAATTTTGATATGTTCACCTGTTTTTCCATCAATGGTGAGGACCATAAATGTGGTATTTTTAGTAAGATCATATTTGACTGCAGTCTCAGCTGCGATGGCTGGAAGAATCAAATATACTAAAAGTGGGCAAATAATTGACTTAGCAGCAATGAACAAAAGAATGAGCGTTTTAGTTAAGTGTTCTGTAGAAACACTGTGACGATATTTCCCCAAATATTCCTCTTTAATAACTAAAAACATTTTGCTTTTTGTCCCTGGCTCTGTTTGCCCTGCAGTTTTCAGACTTTTGCCTCGGCTGCCCATCAGCGCTGCCTGTGTTCTCCGTTGTGCAAGCACATGGTACAGAGAAGTTGCTCGGTCATAGTCTTACTAAAGATTTACTGTGAGTCTTACTGAACATTTAGATGACTGTAAGCCATGTAAAACCACAGGTTTACAAACTACTCGCGTTTGTCAAATAATTCATTTACACAAGCTTTACATGAACAGGAATTCATTACTAAACCCCAGGCACGAAGCTAAGCAATATTTACACCAGTTACAGTTTAAGGAAGTAATTTTTAGCTTGACCTTACCTGGTCAGGAATCATCAGTTGAATTCCGCGGATGTTTACCTGTGTGAGTAGAAAATGAAGCACAGTTAGGGATTTATTGTGTGGGACAGGCTGTAATTCATGCGATGTTAGCAGCCCTCCTTTTAGCCCCACAGAGAGAGTGGTGAGTGGTGAAAGCTATTTTTGAATGTTCCCTGGGGAAAATATGGCCTTGAGAGTACATAAAGACTTAACCTGGAGCATTTTCCCCTGAGCTTCGTCCTACAGCTGCTGAGCAGTAACTTTGAGCCCCTTGTAAAGCTGGAGGAGGTCAGTAGTAACATTTCCTTCAAATGCAGGGCGTTTGGATTGGGTCTGACTTGATTTGTTCTCTTAAGACTTTGTATTTGACACATTTGTATTTAATACTTTGTGTTTTACAGAGACATTGGTCCTCACATAGGGAGCTATAAAACATCAAAGAGTAGCAGGTGTGATCTCTGTTACATTTCTTTGGGGCCCTTAGCTTCCCCAAAGTGTGCAGACGTAGTGTGAGTCTCAGAGGGTGCAGCGAGATGTGCTGTGTGGAAGGAGCATCCCGTGCACTTGGATTACGCTTTTTCTGATAAGACAAGCACCAGAGATGAAAAATCTAAATAGGAGACAGGCAGAAGCGAGTCCAGAGACTGATGCAGTTAGTACTGCTGCTGTTGGAAATTGTGACAGGTTTTCTGATGAAATCCTAGATACTTGCAGAGAAAGGGATTGCTGAAAGTTTTATAGTTCCTGTGCTAAAGGAAGTGCATTATCAGTAATACATATTGTGCAAAAAAAGATTGCTGCTCTTCAGAATAAAGTACATAGTAATTTTTAGAGATGAATCCTGGCTTTAAAAGACTGACCTGGGATTCCTTGTCCTTTGGCCCTTGTTGAAGAGAATTGTTCTCATGGTGCAAGATTCATCGTACAGGTTTTAGGCCAAGAAGCAAGCACACGTCTGGCATTTGGTTACAAAATCTCATTGTCTCGTCTGGATAAAGTGATCTAGTCTAGGAAAACGAAAGAGAAACTAGAACTTACTTTCTAGTGTGAAAACAAACTTCCAGACCTCTTAACTTGTAAGCTTCCAGCAAATAAGTAGATACTAATTCTGTCATTGCATTTTGGTGCTTAAGTGTGAAAACACTTGCGGTTTAAGCCATGTCCTGGGATGACATAAGGTTTAAATAAATCACTTGGGAACAGTGACTCAGGGTAGTACCATCCCCACACCCCCCTGGAGGAAGCCACTCTTCAGATTCATTCTGGCTCAGACCTCAGGACCTGTATTCATTCATTAAGCCACACTGTTTCTGAGGGAAGTCACACTTCCCAGTTCGTACCCACTAATCGAAAGAAATGGAGAAAAGCACTGTCCCAGCACTTAGCATAATTCTGGCAGTAATCATCATTTTGCAGCCTTAGACTTGGTCTCCTAATAAAGGTAGCTTTGGGTTTCTTCTGGAGAGGTAACTCAAGCAATGTGGCTGCAGCCTGCAGAGGCTTGGTGCACGTCAGACCTGCTCCCCAGGCACAGCCACAGCTAGGCTGGCAGAAGAGAAAGGAGTTGCCTGGGGGAAGCTTCATCTCACTGTCCTCAAAAATTTGTCATTAAACAGGGCCAGAATAAACAGAAAGTTGGTGGGCAGCAGTGGAGAGAGAAGGGGGGGGGGAGTATGAAGAGGTCATGGTAATGAAAAAATGGGAATTTAGGAATGTGTTAAGGTGAGTGCCTTCCTCCGTTTGCTGGGATTCAGCCTGAGTAGTCACCCAGCAATAGGTGTAGGCAAGCCTTAGCCTCCAGTTCCAAGTACTCTCAGCTTTCTCAGTTAAGGAAGCCTAGTAAAAAATTTTGGTAGGGGCAAGCAGCAGAGAGGATGTTGGGTAAAGAAACTGGAAAATACTTCATCATTTTGACTCCTCCACTCAAGACTGTCAGCAAAACTACTACATCCTTCCTCACTGAGGATGCTTATCGTGGAGCAGTGTGTCTTTTGTACCCCCTTCCAGAGTAACCTTCACCACTCACACTGCTATCCTCCTTCCCTAACTGTGCCTTCGGAAGCCCGTGTACGTCCCACTCCAGGGAGATGGGCACTCAGGGAGCCCTCAGACCAGAAGAACCTGTGTTGGCAAATGGAGTCCAGGCTTGAAGCTGCAACAGCCGGTTGTGTGGGCTGGGGCAGCTGGAGCAGAGTTACAAGGAGTGCTGGGTAGGCAGAGAAAAAGACGGACTTCAGCAGAGCTCGTGCGTACATCCCATGCGTGCAACAGGCAAGTGTAGATTTAGTGGCAATGCTGGGAGTCTGGCTCGCAATACCAACGTGTTGCCAGGAATTTACAAAGGCAAAATTGCCAGCATATATAGAAACACACAATTGTTTCCTGGATTATGCTTAGTAAGGGTACAATTAAGAACATTAGGCTGTTTTATTTATGCCTGTGTTCTACCAGCCTTTGCAGGCGCAGGGAGCCCATTCATGCAAAGGGCAATTGTGGAAATAGTGGTTTTCTGCAACCCACGTTTCTCCAGAAAACCTGGAAGCAGCTTGTTCAGCTCAGGACGGGAAATCTGTTGACAGCACCATTTAGTATGCTGAATGATAACTTCCTCATGTTTGTCTAATAAACCAAAAAGTCTTCTAGAAAAAATGAGACAGACAACTCTTGCGTTCCAACTCCTATGAAGAAAGACATTTTCACTAGAAAAGACCAACACTAGAAAAGAAAAGAAGTTATCGTTACTGTTTCCAGATCGGTTGTAAACTGTATTTGTGTCTTCTCATTTTTATTGTTAATGCAAGACTAAAATGCCACCAACATAAGTACTTATGGTATGTATTATCATGTGATATCTTCCATTTTGACAATCAACAAAAGAAGAAAAATCTAAGCAAGAGACTTAAGTTAGTGGCTGTGGAGACATATAAAGCAATTTATTAAAGTCTGCAGTGCCAAAAAGTAGTCCATTGCTCTCATGAAAAGTGGTTCGAGGTTCAGTACATTACAAAAAAAACCATTGATTTACGGGTGGACAGTATAGGAAGACTCTTAAGGACTATTCATGCTGAATTGCTTTGTGCTGCTGCCTCAGACTAGCTCTCAGTTTTTTGATGTAGTTGTTTATAAAATTACACTTTACATGCAGCCTACTGCATGGTAGCTTTTAAGAGGCCCTGGAGCTTTCTGCAGTCAGACGAGCTGAGCAGAAAATGCTATCTACAGCATGAAAAATTAGTAAGCTGCGGACTGAAACAGCCAAACTAAAATTGCCTAATATCAGTGGGGTTTGGTATTGTGCAACTTTCTATATGTTGACATGCTTTAAAGTGAAATCTTGCTAGGAGTGTAAAGTTTACTGCCCTTCTCAACTGGTCAACAAATATTGCATCTTCCTCTTGCAGCATTCAGTTGTCCCTCATAGCTCCCTGGGAGAGTATGGTGGTGGTATTGTAGCTGTTACAAACTGAATGCTGTTGACCACGTTTTATGGATTAGTAGCAAAAATGTTCCCCAACATCCTCCTCATGTCATCGTGTCCCAGAACTGCTGTGCGCTGGTGCCGGTTCCCCTCTGCCTTTCTCACTGATGGCTTAATGCCAGTGAGTGCTTTGCACCTGCATAGTGAACGGGTTAGGCAGCGTCTTCTGTGTCTCCTGTATACTCTCCTGTTTACTAAGCCATGTGTGACTATCAGATGTAGGAATTATTTAATCTTCTCAAGTTGCAGAAATTAATTAATTAATTTTTTACTCTGGAGGATTTAAGAGTCTTATGTGGACCTCCTGTGGAGTTAAGATATTTTTGCTGAAACTTTCTGTACCTTTTTATTTTCTTTATTTTTAAACAAACAGAGCAAGTGTACCAGTTTTACTGATCCTTACATCTGCTAAGGCTGTAGAAGAGCTGGCATTTCCCATTACGAGTTCTGGGCTTGGCTACTGTAAAGTCTTAGTTCAAAGAACAACCCTGGCACACACACACGATCGTACAACAGGACTGGAACCGAGTCCAGAGAGAAAAGTAAGAGTAGCTGCTGATCTGGGGTCTTGGGGAGGCAAATGCAGAAGGGATGGGGCATGGCCAGATGCATGCCACTGGGGACAGGAGCTGCAGGTTAGGAGCCTGGGCCAATGGCCCAAGGTTCCTGAGCTGTAACTATCAGCTGATAGTTGCCAGCTGATTTCAAAGAAACATGCTGAAAAATGTACGGATCTATCCCCCATGTTGGTGGACAGCATCTAGGGCTACAGCTGGAACAGGCAGTCACCCCATCAGTTTCTTTACTTGGGAGCCTCAGTGGGATTGAAACCAGGAGGGAATCCATGCAGCTCTGTGTGGTGGAATATGGAGGGAAGAGTTAAGTAACGTTTAGAACAATTCCAGCTATAAATGCCTTGGAAATGATGTGCAGAAAACTCCTTTATGCGTGTCAGAGTTACTAAAATAAGAGGTTCAGGTGCCCCAGGGTGTCCTGCTCTTTTAGAAAGGTTCTGGCTGTGCCATCTTCACAGTAGCCTGTATTGTTTCTTAACAAGTAAAAAATTAGGCACTTTCACAGTACTCTAGAGCTGAGAATTTTGGAGGTTCTTTTGCATTTTGCAGTTGGAGCGTGAATCTGAGAGACAAAGAAGCAAGACATTCAGTCACTGCAATGCCACTTTTAGTCTCTGGAATGTCTTAACACAGCTGCAATGGGATGGAGCTTAGTCACAGCTAGCTTAACCACCTAGGTATTTAGCGGCTCACAGAGGTTTGCCAACCAGTCCTGACTTCTGTCGTGCTGTAACTAAACCCCTAATAATAGCTTAATTAAAGTAGAGGTCTTTTATGCATAGTGGTTTATCTCTATAAGAATCATGCAAAATCGGGACAACTGGAAGACAGACATGTTTTATATTGAGAAACTACTAAAAGAAAGGACTGTCTTCAGAGGCAGGATGGCATAAAAATATTTTCTAAACCTCTGTGAGAGAAAGATGGGTTCCTATTCTCCATTTCAAAAAACAAAGCATAGTATACACAATAATACTTGTTTGATAGGTTTGAAACCAGTGAAGAACATGTTTTTCACACAGCCTCTGATAACTATATTGCAGACAACTTTCGCAAACAGTAATTTGTTCGTTACTTAGAATGCAACTGTTTGCATTCTGAGTAACAAACTAGGATTGATAGAAGAAATATAGGTGGAAGACATTTCTCTGCGAGGTGCACCATTCCTCCAGATTGCAGTACAATGCGGAATTGTATCCGTGCTCCAAATCCGCTGACCTGTCCTGGAGTAAAACATCTGTCCATGAACACAAGTCACTGGGGGCCAAACTGTTAGAGTAATCTGTGCAAAAGAGACTGCTTTGTACCTGCAGAATCTGTTAGGCAGACTAAGGCGATCATGGGCCCATGTAGGAGACACGGCCCTGTCAAGTCATGCAGTGTCAGTAAGTGGCTAGGTTTCACTCCTGGCCTTTGGGACAACTAGTTTGCCATTTCTAACTGATACTGGATTGTAATGTTGATCTTGAACAGTGGCATGTGGATAGAGTGGAAAGAGAAATATTCTTCTGCCATGTGAAAGTACCTAAATAGGAAACAAAAATACATCTCTGAAAGCTGGGTTTTTTTTTTTATAATGGCTGTGTTTTTTTAATGAGACAATATTTCTTAGGAAGATGCCTCCAGATGGGAAGGTAGTGATTTTTCATGCGTGTTTTTGTCTTGAAGCTGACTGTTGCATACTTGAGTTGCATTTCTTGAAACTAATGGGGTGACTTGTAGGAACATGGAATACGAAAGGTGAACGAATTTCCAAGTTTGAAACTGTATGTCTACCAAAGATGCAATATGCGCTATTCTTAGCAAAGATGCTGAAAAAAACCTGACTGATTCACACACAATCTCTACGTGAATATTTGTTTAACAGCGCACTGTTTGAAGTATAAGATCTTTTTGACTCATGCAAATCTAAGCCACTCACAGCTTCAGCAGAAAAGCACCACTGCTTGAAAAAGTCTGCTGTGATAATTACACTCATCAGCATGATAATGCTTTATGGGTTTAAGAAATTAGGTCAGTTCACACACAGTAGGAAAGAAAGCAACAAGGATTCCAGTTGTAGGTGCTTCCTGTAAATACATATGGCTTATTTAAATTGCTTTTCAGGGCAGTAATGCTAGTTTTTAACATCTCATACTTGAGTGCAGTTCAGTAAGAGTAGCAGTGTCTTGCTCACTGGCACTTGCTCACTTTGTTGAGTTATGGTTTCTCTTGATACAGAAGTTATAAATCTCATAAAAAGAAATACAAGCAAGGGAAAGAAGATATGCTATAAATACCTCGCAGCATATAAAGAAACATTTGTTTGGCTCAGTGGGGACTTATTGTTAGCGATAATCAGCAGTTGACTAAGCCCGGAAGTAGCTTGTCCCTGAAACAAAGACTGAAGTTGTTTGGTGGCATTTGTTTGTGGGCTTAAGCCACTTCTCCAGAATATTTGCATTCATTCATATAATGTCCAGAAGAAAAATACTTCCAGATACCTCTTTAACAACTCCTGAAGCCCTAGAAAACAGTCTGGACTTTGGAATGATTTAAAAGATGAGGGAGGAGAGGGCAAAGAGAGGCAAGATAATCAGGTGATGTTGACTTACATTTTAATGCTGGGGGTAGCATTAAAATGTAAGTCCAGCAGATCAGGAGAGAAAAAAGAGAGTACATTATCCCTAACATTTGCTAGAATAGCATTCTAGAAATTATTATGGGGCAAAGTATGTAGGATGCACGTGGATCTTCTACCCAGCTCCAACATGAGCTCAGGGCTCTGAGCAACCTGATCTAGTCAGCGGTGTCCCTGCTCGCTGCAGGGGGGTTGGACTAGATGACCTCTAGGGGTCCCTTCCAACCCAAAACTTTCTATGATTCTATGATTCTATGACCTCAGATAATTTGCTAGAGTACACTGCATCTCATTCCCTTCTGTAATTTCTTGCTTCACAGTGACAGCTAGGTTTAATTTACTAAGTCTGTCTGTATAGTGCCTGCACTTTTTTTGAGGAAATAGTGTAAATGACCCCAAACTACTGTGATCTTCTGCATCTGTAACTGTGTAAATTGAACAAAGTAGACTTGTTATTATAAGACTTTGGCTTTTCATGTCTGTAAACCAGAGCACTGAATGCAAAAGTAACAGAACATATGTGAGATTTGCAGTTCTTGCCGAGGGATATTTACTCCATAAGCCAGTGAATAAAGTGGAAGGAATAAATCACAACTAGGACACTCTAATCAATGACTAATAGAATGCTGTTCCACTGTGTCCTCCCACCAGGAAAATCTGTACTGACCTCTGTGCAGCCAGGAATCTGAAATTTCTGGGTACACAGAACAGCTCTGAGAACTTAACAGCTTCTTTTTTTTTTCCACACATATGGTGCAAAGAATGTGTATGCAGTATCTTTACTTCTACTCTGATACCCATAAATCCATAGAGAGATATATATATATAAGCTGGCATATATATAACAGACTAAAAAAGGATTTCTTCTTATCTCATGATTTTTCAATTTGTGATAACTAAACAACCCTGAAAATGGGATTTTTATAAAGCTTATTGAAGTAATTTCACAAGAAAGTGAAGAAATATCCCAAGAACTATACACGTATCAGTGACAGTTGGAAGATAGTGCTGAAATGGGAAAATCACTCTGAAAGACAATTAGACTTTGCCACCTCCCACCAGAAGATCTGGTGTCACGGAGGTGAGAAGAGGAAGTCACAGAGAGGTACCAAAGGCAAAGCAGAAAAACTAGAACAGGGAAAAGATCTGGTTTAAATATTACAGGATTAAGACAGTCTTAAAATAGATCTTGGATAGGTAAGAGACATGCAAGAGGAGTCAGAGCAGTAACACAGAAAAAAAACCGAGAGCTAATTACTAGATTTCTTCAAACATGCGTCAATCATACCAAATTCAGCCATTTTTCTCTGAATTTTCTGGCATCTGAAATAAATTTTTGTATTCTGGCTAATCTCTCCCTAAATACTATCTAAACACATCCTTCTGCTTTTGTTCTTCGTTCTTCCTTTTCTGTTATTTGTGACAGATTTCCACCTCTTTCAGGTGAAAAATGTTCTGACAGAACATAATACGTACATACAAGTAAATACTGACTTGGGGTGTTTATGGATATTGAGATTTACAATTCCTTAATGTCAGCTTTGACTTCAGATTTGCTTAGGATCTCTGTGCTTCTCAGGGCAATTAATCTTCATTGTTTACCACAGGGTTCAGTATTAAAGCACATATTATTTAATTCTACAATTGTATTACTTTCATGCACATTTTGTGTGAAAATGATTCTTCCGAAATCAGGAAAATATGTTGTCACTTCCAACTTTCTTTAAAAAAAAGAGTTAGGTAGAAAGGGATAACATGTATTTGCTATGCCAAAGTGGGACATCAATGCAGTACTGTATGCAGAATTTTGAATTAACATCATTGCCAGGATATAGCTACAGTATTTCTGGTGTGCTTTAAAGCTTTGCATTTAGTTACATCATCTGATGCTTCAGCAAATGCTTTGAACTCATCAAGTGGCTGATGGATGTGTTTGTAAAGGCTTGGATGGTCACTTTATACGCAACAAGAAACCCGCTGTTGTACTTAATGAGGTCAGTGAAGCAACCAGGAAAGAAATACATAATTCTGTAGCATGGGTCTGTAAGCATGGCACTGCCTCAGCTTTTAAGTTTAATGAAGCAGCTGCTCAGCTGCTGAATATTCTTGTTAAACAGTTTCAGAATGGATTTTAAAACTAAAATGTAGGGTTAGGGTTAGGGTTAGGGTTAGGTCTTTGTTTGCATTAGAAGCAAGAAAGAGGACCCCTCAGGGTTTGGCCGTATCCCAGCTTGAGACTTGGGTCAAAATTTAGTTCGACTTCACTGGTTTGAAGCTGGAAGTACTGCACAGATCTTAAAGCAGCCCAGGATTTTCACAAAACAGCGAACATAATCCAATCCACTGCTTCACTTGTGTGAAGAGTGAAATTATTAACTGCTGCTGCATGTGCCGTCTGATAGCCTGAAAAGGTCTTTTTCTCTTGACTTGTAGCAACTTTCTAAACCGCATGCATTGTGCACAGCTCAGGTGTGTGTGCAGAGCATCACGCACAGCTTCATGCTGTTCTGCCAGGCAGACTGAAAGGAGCGGGCTGGTTTTTTTACACTTTCCTGCAGTTACAGTTGAGTGAAGTCTACCCGGGACAGCCTGCAAAGAGCTGGGAGAGGGACAGGGGGAACAGCTGTGTGCCACCATATGCTATCCGCTAACGAGGTTTTGTCAGAGACAGTGACAAAACCTGCTTTTCTGAGGAGACCACCTGAAGTGTATGTGGTAGGGAGAGTTTTTTTTTCCAAGACCTCAGCCAAGAGATCAGTCTTCTCAGCTTGGCAGTTGGGTGGGTGTGAGTTGGAGCTGCAGTGAAGTGGATCCATGGGTCAGCCGCACTGATGCTTGCCACCCGATCCCGCTTCCCACGGCACTAAGCCCAAGCACTCTGGGAAGCAGCGCAACTGCCTTTCCCAAAAGATTCCTCTGTAAAACAGAGAATCTCAGGATGTAAAATCAGATGCTTTAGGTTTTCACAGGCAGGAGGAGCACGCATCTCCTTTGGCACGTTAGCACCCCGCCACAAGGAAGGTGGGTGCTTTGGGGGAGGCAATGCAGGAGAAATATTCACGGGCAGCAATATAAGAGGGATGTGTTTGGCACAGTCATGCTTTCCAGTGCCGTTAGTATCGCTCCTTGAGCTGCTCGTGGATGTTGTCCTGAAAAAAGGGAAACCCTCCCCAGGGACAGGAGCTTCCTGCCCGCACACGCCTGCCTGCGGTTGTGGCCCTGCCTTCACATTCCCATGGGCAAGGTGCTGCTGCTTCAGGTCCAGTAGTCCTTTCCTGTTGATCACTGAGAACAGCTTACCCTGTAGGTCAGGGGATCATCCTTAGCATAAGAGATACTGCCCTGTAGGTAAGGAGCGGTGGCACAGATCATCACTAGCTTAAGAGGTGACCTCCAGCTGAGACAGATTTAATACTTGCCTGGTGCATTTAGAGATTTCTTGAAGTGGCTGCTCTGCTGCACTGTGAAGAGGTGGGAAATACAAAGGTGCAGAACTGCTCGGTTGCCTGTCTCCCATCTGCCACTCTGATGTGTTTTTTGCTCTCCACTTTCTTCCCCCCACAGAAGAAATGCTTTAAACAAGAATATCAAAGTGCCTGTGGCCATTAGCCCAGCAGCTTGGTGTACTAACTGCAGAGCAAAGTATGCGAGCTGCAAATGCTTCCCACCTTGTTGATTCGTGACGTACAGAGAGGAAGAGAGGCTACATCACAGCCCTCTATACTGATGAGCAATTTTTTTTCCTTCTCCAGCAGCCCCTTCAATGACCGGCCAATGTGCAGGATCTGCCATGAGGGCAGCAGTCAGGAAGACCTGCTTTCCCCCTGTGAATGTACAGGGACCCTGGGGACTATTCACCGCACCTGCCTGGAGCACTGGCTGTCATCTTCAAACACCAGCTACTGTGAGCTTTGCCACTTCAGGTTTGCAGTGGAGCGCAAACCCAGGCCATTGGTGGAGGTCAGTACCTGTGGCACATCTCCAAAAGCTTGGCTTTAATGAACAAATTGTGTTTGTTTTTGATGCTGTGAAAAGCTGGAACTGAAGACTCAATATTCGGCAGACTATTAAGCAGTTATTCTTTATTGCGGCGCCGGGCACACGGGGGATCTCTCCTCCAAATGTGCACGCCAAACACCCTGTCATTTCAGGTTAAATACAATCACAGTATACATATTCATTATACCATATTTATGGATTTTCCAGGAACCAATCAGCATATGTTAATGTCCTTCACACCTGTCTGATAGCATCCTCGGGTGGTCTTTGGGGTCTCAAGATGAAGGCTTATACTCCTCATCACAGTGTCTGCTGGTTGACCTTTGTTTCTGCGCAAACGCAGTTCTAAGATCAGTTTACTGTGTCCTTCCAGGTTGTTTTGCTCTGGTCTCATTGCCCTGTTGGTGCCTCTTTATCTCTGTAGCTTGGTGCTTCTGCCCTCCCAAGGCTGAGCTGTCCATTAACATTGTTTGGGAGTCTTTCTATCTTAGATCTTTCCTATCCCCCCCAAAAACATCAAGTCAGATTTGTCTAAGTAGTGTTATTGAGGAGCCTCTTTATAGCTTTCCTATCTTCTCAAAGCAGCAAGGATCTAGTTTAGTTTAATTACAATTGCTCTAGTAAGTGGAAATTTTACATTTACGGGTATCATTTTTATATAGGCTTCGCAAAGCCTATGCAGCTCCACCAAAGCCAAAGCAAGCTGTGAGTTTTGGGATTGGCAAGATGAGGGCAGGAATAACAAAACCCTTATTTTGAACCTATTCAAAACAAGTAAGAAGAATGGCATCGATGGATTTGCTTCACTGTGAACATGAGTGAAGATCTGGGGAACAGTGTGCAGTGAATTCCTGGTATACCAGCCAACTTGGTAGAGAATGTAAGGGAGGTAAGTAACAGTTTCTGTGGAATGCGAAACAAGCATCAGTATTCAGCATATTAAGTCAAGAATATTTTTTTTTCTTGCTTTTGAGAGAGAGGTAACAAACCGAGGAGCCTTAGAAACCTGGTTTCTACGTCAAGCCCACAAGAAGGAATTGTTCTTGCTCGGTGTCCGGCATGTGTAGCCATTTGTGAGTGACCTTTTGGCCTCCTCTTGCCTGTGTACCAGACTTAACGGTGAATTGGACAATTGTTTCTCCCTTATCAATTAAAATTCAAGTTTTGCCAACGATAGATACTTTAGTGGCTGCATGAGGTTTGCCAGGTTTTTTTTTTTGTCCTCAGGAAAAGAAAAAAAAAAAGGCAAGATAACTATCTTTACACTGTTAATGATCTTTCTTTTCTCCTATTTTAATTTGGAAACATATTTTAAAATTATAGTTTGTGTTGGAATTAAAAGTGAATTACAAATAGTAACATTTTACAAAAGTAATGAGAAGCATGTTATTGTACCAGTTGGTGACACAGGTGCTCACATGCTAAGCTTGGGTTCGTGTCCTTCCTGTGCATCTTCATTGTACCTGCAAACCGCAGCAGAACTGGTTGAAGCAGATACGGTGTTGAAAATGAAAGGGAGGAGGGGCATCTTGTTTTCCTTTTATTCACAGATGAGAGGATATGTGGTGAATGACTTCACGGACCCCAGCCTTGTGCTTCATCAGAATCATTTTATTGCTCAAGTGAATACCTTATATACTAATACAATAGTTACTAGAGCCCATCAGCTTTGGATTCGTGGCTTTGCAAATCCCAGTTCACAGTTGCTGTTTTCCAGGATACAGGATAAACCTGACTGCTGGGAGGTGGGTGAGGGGCCTGTGCAGAGAAGGGGTGAGCAGTTCTCGTTGAAGTCTACCAAAATTGCTTTATGCTGGATGAAGTTAGGCATGCGCGTTTTGTGTCTAAGCCTAAGGACATCTGCATTCTTCCTTAGGATCAGCAAAAAAGAGATACATGACACAGTATTTAGCACAAGACCTGTAGTCTTCTGAAGTGTTCAGTTGCCTCTGGTTTGTTGTTTGGTGCCTCTAGCAGGATTCCAGCTTCTTCCAGAAGCTGGTCCCAGTTTGAGAAGCACTGCTGTTGAGTGTTCTCAGGGTGTCTGAGCATTAAAATCTTCATGACTGAGCATTCTCCAGTGAAGATGGTGACATCTTCTTTCATCCAGCTGCTCTAAGCCTGCGCCACGCAGTTTTTGGTAACAGTTTTGGTGCGACGACAAAGCCACGCTGAGTTTGCCTTCTGAAAAGAACGATAAGCGTTGCTGAGCTAGTGCAAAGTAAACCGTTTGATTTTAGAGTCCAGCTTCTTCAAGCTGTTGCCTTGCAACAGCTTCTCATGAGGCCTGCTTTGCACAAATGGGATGTGACATTGTTCAGAGCTGATGGTGACTGGAGGACGTTGAAAGTGAAGCCAATCCTGGCCAGGCTGGGGCAGTCTGTTCGCTTGATCTTTCCTTCATGAAATGAGGCTTCTTTTTAGCAAAAGCAGTAATAAATAATAGCAACAACAACAATAATAATAACAATAATAATAAAGCCGTCTTTTGTTTCTCAGCTGAGGACAAATGAGAACCAGGTGCAAGAACACTTCTGAAACGTAGTGCACACCATTAAATGATGTTTTTCTTTTTACTACCTAATCTTTTCTGGCTTCTCAGCTGCCATACCCACGGTATTTTAGTGCAGTAATCAAGAATTACATGCAGTTTTCTGTTAGTATAATTTAAGTTTGTCCCCAAAGTTTGCACTTATCTAATATACAATGCTGTGAAATCCAAAGATCTCATCATGCAAATAATTAGAGCAAATCTGAAAGTTCCTAAAGCATAACTAAAGCAGATGCAAGTTGCCAGATTCCCTCATCTTCTGTCTCCTAAAAGCACTGTCTTGCCTGTCTCTCTGTATTACTTAGGGTATACAGACCATCTTTCACAAAAACCTGCTGTAATGTTTGGACGAGTGACAAGCCAGAGTGGCCAGCGGCTTTTAACACCATCATGTGCTTGTGTGTTTGGGGCGGGGAGTCAAAGTTCTCTTCATTTAGTAAGATAATTAGTTCTGCAAAGATTCCTGTGAAACAGATAATGGAAATGGTAAATGGTCCTTTCAGTGGAGGTGAATGATGAGTTTACCAACGCATTTGGCAGGTCAAGAGAGACTATTGTACTCATAAATTAATTTGTGGAGCGTAGTCTATAGAAGCTTATACAGTAAGTCCTCAGCAGGCCCTATCTCGTGCAGAGAATATATGCCGTCCATTGGTCAGTGACAAGTAGTATAAAAATGCTTGAAGCAATCATCATATTCATCTTTTCTCCCAGAGATTTTCCATCAGTAAAAAAATGGTATTTCTGACTATTCAAAGACGTATTATTCACTTCCTTAGAGGGACCAAAACATAGAAGAGAACACGGTGTTGTGTTTTCTCCTCATCCCTTCACTGAATTGATCACCGCATCTTAGTGGCTTAGCCGTAGGTGGGAAGGAAATCTCAACGGAAACAAATTGAGATGCTTCACTTGCTTTATCTAGAAGTGTCCTATCTAAAAAAATGTTGGCACCCAGGAGAGGCTGCAGTAGTAGTTGGCTTGAAATGAATGGAGCAGTAAGTGACGTGGCTGGTTGTTCAGCCGTATTCCTTCCTCTTCTGTGTGCATTATTACGAAAGCAGCAGAGGATTTCTTGCTGCGCTTCACGATTTGATTGGAACGGGCTACTGAAGCTATAGCACCTCTCCTTCTTCCCCTGCCGTGCTGTAGTTTGCTATTAGTTCATTACGAAATGAAAGCAAGTGCTCCATAAAAATTTGTTGCAAGATGGTTTTTTACCTTCTTTTAAGTGGTTGCCCATGTTCACACTAAGGATGCAGGCCCATGCACTCAAACAGGAGATCTTTAGCTCAGATACAAGGAACTTACCTACAGCTGTGTCCCACCTCCTGCGTACATCATCCCTAGGATGGGAAAATGCAGGTAGCTCACCTTTGCTTTCTCTCCCCACCTTACGTTATGCACAGCAGCCGATTTCTTCCTGGATTTCTTTTGGAAGGAAAAGTAAAGGAAAAATAGCATTAATTTTGACTTCCATTTCCTTTTTATCCTTCATATCTTTTCTCCACCATATGCTTCTTGCTGGTCATCTGAGTTTCAAACTATATACTTCATAAAGAAGACACTCCTTTATCTATGTCACAGGACATGTTTTGGTTGTCTGGCGGAGAAAGATCTCCCAGGAAATGTTCCATCTACCAACTGTTTGATGCCCAAAACCAGCCGGGAAGGGTAGTACAGTTTGTCAGGTAGGTCCATCCTCTGAACGCTGCATGTGTGAAGCTTCAGACATTCTTGGTCCATTCCTTTTTTTAACTCGGATTATTTTTACAGAAGAATTCTGTTTCTGAATCATGAATCTGGCATTATGGTGGTGATTAACACCTCCTTCAGCGTTCAAGGAAAGTGATTTGTTTATTGCCATCCACCATTTATGTGTTTTGCCTCCTGCTGCATTGGCTGGAGGTGCTCCGTGACTTGTCCTTCATCAAGTCAAAGAAATACACACTGGGGAATGCGCACATTTCACCTTCTCCACAGGTGTCTGTCAAAGGTTGGTCACCCAAAAGGATGGTCTTCTTTACAGTTTCTTGTGTCCATCCTGTTGGCATACATGTATCAGATGTGCCCTGTGTGATTTTACAGTTGCCAGTAAGAACTGCTTTCTGTTGGACCTGCACAGATTTTGTGAAATGGGTGGCGAATGCGCTGCAGGTAAGTGCGGAGCCCCCTCGTGCCCTACCTGACTTTCAGTGCTTGCACTGCCTTGCTTGTGGAGTGAGCTAACTGGGAACTGTCGCACTCCTTCCAGATGAGCCTGCTTCTGGGGGCACTTCTGCTCAGAGGCTGGGTTGATGCTCCTCAGATCCCCATTGGGACCCGGGGCTTCCTTGTTTCTCAGTCACTTGTGAACTTGTTCACAACAGCTGCACTGGAGAGAACGTGATATGCTGTTGTAAAGGAGCAA